TTTTCCAGTGGCATATACTTCACTTATTTCTTACTCAAACTATGTACTGTGGACTTACAGGTTTAAATACAGTAAGGATAATACGAAACAATATCAATACTACTACTTTTGGCCAGAGGTTGGTGGAGATGATGGGAGGGGAGGCACTAGCCCTTCTCCTTCAGCCATTCAATTGCATGGCTTAACCCACCCGTCTGTGCCCATGAGCCCAACATCTGTATCTAGTGTACCTTCTGAGCTATGTATCTGGGGAGCTCTACACTTGGCTTCTTAGGTAGCTGAAGATGAGTTCTTTGCAGATGTGGGGCCTTGCTCAACAGTGAGCCTCTGATCCCTTCTTGTCCTGACAATATTGTCCCAGCAATAGCTAATGAAAAGGCACCAGCTTTTTGTAGTTTGACCTTCTGACCTTCTTAATTCATGGTCAGTAATTCCTTTCTACTGTTTTGAGTGTCTCCGTGTGCTTATCTCTCTCCTCTCAAATCCTTCTCCCTTCCATCCCCTCCCCCCCTACTATTTGCTCCCACTCTAGCAAATAATAAAAACAACCAGGAGGAGAAGCCGGTGGGTCAGTGATGCTTCTCCGAGCACCTCAGTAATCCTCAGTGAAGAGGGAAGGTCACAGCCAGTGAGAAGGCTGAGTTGGTTTCATAGGGAACTATATTTTCGACTTCCCACTGTTCTCCCTGGTGATTAAGCTTTGTGTGTTTGCTTGTTTAATGTGTGATCCTACCATTTGGAACTCTTTAATTTTTCAGACAATTGACTCCAGGCTTGCAGAGAATATTGTAGCATGGAAGAAATCAGGACTATATTTTAAATCCATTGTCATTTGTGTGCTTAGGCTGCCTGCTGTGTATCTTGTGCCACAGAGGATAGCAGTAGTGGCAGAGAGCTGAAAAGGAAAGGGGAGATCTCTCTCCTGGCCTCCTCCCCAGTCTATGCTTTGAAAATAAGACTCAGTAAAGTCTTACACTGTTCCTCAGCAAGTAGGCTGCTGGTGTGTGCTGCTGGCCAGATCATCAACCTGCGTAAACTAGAGGAAGACTTGGACTCCCACTTAAAAAATGAATATTATTTGGTCATAAAAGAATAAAGCCCTTTGAAAGCAATAAGATTGTCTCTTCTGTGCAAGGAATTGGGCCTAGAAGGGTCCATGTGGCTCAAAGGAATCAGTGACTAGGTTCTGGGCCGCAAAGAGCCAGCTGGTAAGCTAGGAACAAATAGTGTGGTAAGGTCTGTGGGAAGACAGAGAGAGACTGATTCAAGGGGAAGAAATTAGGCAAGAATGGAGGGGAAGGGATTTATATTCAAGTTGGCTTGAGGGACACATTGGTTCCCCATTCTTACATTAATTAGTTAAATAAATGTTAATTTATTCATTTAGTCAATAACTTTTCTTGAATGCTTGCTCTATATCAGATCCTATTTTAGATTTTGTTGAAAGACACCTGTTGATTTTTGCACTAGTCATTGGCCTGGAAACCAGAGTACTGGATCAGCAACCTATATAAAAATCTGGCCTCTGCCACCCACTAATTGTAAGACCTTGAACAGGCCCCTTGTCCTCCATGGGCCAAAATTCCTCACCTGGAAAGTGTAGGACTTTCCAAGTCCTCCTCTGAGCCGTTTTAAGGCACTGTGATCCAGAGAGTTCAAGGGTGAGACAGGGTGGAAGAGGAGAGGATAACTCCAGAGGCGTCAGTTAGGGAGTGATGGCAAGAGCTCCTGTAAGACAGGCTAAGTTTGATAGTCTTTCAGGTATTTATTCAGCAGACATCTTCATACTTCATGCCATCCGCTGTACTAAGCATTGGGAACAGAACACAAAAGTAACTAAAAAGGAAGTCCCTATTCTCGAGACACCTTTTATAAAGGCAGGAGATGAACTAGGAGCACAAGTGATAGATCTAGAGATGTAGTTTAAAACTCATCACATGAAATGATAGTTGAGACTGCACACATGTATGCGGTGCCAGGAGAGAAAAAGCAAAGGCATGAGAAGAAAGAGTTCTTAGGAGACAGAACTTGGGGAAATGCTTTGTGGAGACAATCAGTGTTCCACTCCTTGAGAGAATACTTACCCTTCACTGAGCCAACACAACAAACCCAACCTCAACCCAAACTTAAAATTTGTTCTTGTGGCAAAAAAAGCTGGGGCTCACCAAAGAGAGAATATCTGTTTAGACATCCAGTTCTCCTTGACTACATCACTCCTGTATGTGAAACAAAATTTTACCAGGGCCACATGTGGTTTGCATAATAGCTGGTCTATTTGGTTTCCTCCAGAAGGAAACCTTCTTTACTAAGTACCAGCAGTGTGTAAAAAATGGCATAGGTGGCTGCTTATGCTGCTACTCTCCAAATCCTTTCCCAAACCAGCTGGCTCTTTTTTTTTTTTTTTTCCTTCCTTTTGCCATTTCCTCATACAATTGGAGCAGATCCACAAACAGATTCTGAGAGCCTCAAGCTTTTCCTTATTTACCCTTCAGTAATTACATATTGCGGGTTGCTGTCCCTATTGGAGGCTGATGCTGAGCAATTAGTCTCCCATTGTCTTTGCAGGAAATGACATCCGTGTGACTTTTTTTTGACCACCCTTGGTTAAAATAATGTTCAGTATTTCCTCTGGTTGCTTATTGAGACTGGCTGATTTAGAAAGCTTTTGTAAATGTGCAGATAAACCACAGCTGTCAGGACCGGAAATACTACTAGGTCGCTTCCCTGAACACAAGAGTCTGAACTATTGCTCTGGTCCCTTCACACACTGTCTTGTCTAGGTTCTTCGGTGTGAGGCTGAGCCCAGGGCATTCCTTTTATAATGCTTTATCAGGGGCTGATTGTCAGAATGTTTTCCAGCTGCAGATAATTGAAAGCCCAGCTCAAGGAGAACTAAACATAATAAATTTATTGGAAATTTATTGGAAACCTCAGGGTGGGCCTGCACCCTGCTTCCTTGTATTCTTCCCATCTAGAACCAGCTTCGTCTTTAGGCTGGAGCAAGACAGCTATGTGAGTTCTAAGTATCACATCTCGCACAACTTTTAGAAAGAAGAAGTTTCTTCTCCCTGAAATGAGGAGAAACTCTCAGCAAAACATTTTTCACATCTCATTGGCATAAATTGTGCCAAGTGCTTACACTTGGCAAGAAAAATGGGTGTCTCTTTGTTTAGTGTCCATACAGATTACTTGGCAAATCTTGTTAAGTGGATAGATGTGGAATGGAAGGGAACGCTATAGAGTTTTCTAAGAAGTTCACAGGTCACACTAATGTTGCTGCTTGGCACATTGCAAAGCCATAGGCCATTCAGGTCCGCACCCCTAAGCTGAGAGTACTGTTATCTGCTCATAAGGCATCATGTCTGGAGAAATACGGGGTCCTGTAGGAAGAAGTAAGGACCCCAACCAGAGATGAGAGCAGTATTAGAGAAACTTGTTCCTAGTGTATTATGAGAAAGCAGGAGCACTCGACTGTCTGTGGTTTGTATTAGAAGCAAAAAGTATATGCAGAGCTATACATGTAGAAGCACTGTTAAAAATGTCATCACACATTGGTGTTAGTGTAGACGTTGTAATTCTAGAAACAAACTAAATACTACCACCCACTTTATCGTTCAGTTATTTTTATTAGTAGTTAATGCCACATATATCTGGTGTGTCTCAAAAGGAACAAATAAAATGGATCTAAGTATCCATGAGTATAGAAATAGTATGCCAGCAGGCACATGGCACATGTCTGCAATCCCAGCACTCTGGGAGGCTGACGCAGGAACATCACAAGTATGAGCCCACCCTGGGCAACTTAGGGACTTAACAAGACTATCTCAAAATTTTTTTTATTAATTTTTTTAAAGGGCTAAGTTTGTAACTCAGTACAGAGGTCCTGGATTTGATCCCCCATACAAGGAAAGAAGAAAAGGAGGGAGGAGGGATGGTCAAGTCTAAACCTTGTTCTGTAAGTACATAGCTCAGTGACAGTAGTTACTAGAGATGGAGAGTACACGCGCACTTGCCCTCAGAGTCACTTGACGTGTTATTCTGTGGGACAGATGCTGTCAGTGGTGAATTTCAGCCAGTTTTCACTAGACCTTTGCGAGATGGTCACTTTGGTGACTGCTGTCTCTGAATTCTTCACAGGCACAGCATCATTCAGGAGGGTACTTGGAGGTGGAGATGGAGTTTTACCAGGCCATCTGTTTGACCCTCCACACCCCAAACCAGTATCTTTGGTCTAGAGTGAATGCGAAGGGACTCAAAACTGGCCTGATACCATGGATCCACACACAGGGAATCACTGCCTATTCCTTAATGTCTGTGCAAAGGCCCAGAAGGATGAGAGATTCCCAGGTATGCAGGACTAGCTGGGGTGAGTGGCTAGAGTTGATGTTCCAAGAAGGCAGGAACTGTCCTGTGTCACACAGGAGCCATATGTTTTCATGCGTGTGTGTAGAATGACTGAACAGCTAGCATTCACTTTCTGAAGAGAAGCAAAAGAAGGGCATGTTTATTTATATTGCCTACTTGGTCATTTATAATCTAAGTGTAGAATGTTAAGATGCCATCTACATGAAGACCTCATAAACTGCCAAAGAGAGCCAAGCCCAGGATCCCAGAGCTGGAAAGAAGAGAGGGTGTTACTGGAGGGGGAAAAAAAAAAGGAAAGAGGATTGGTTTGGGGAGGGAATGCTGTGAGTTCAATTTTAAATACTTTTCCACTGTTCTCTTGTCTTTGATTATTTTACAGTTTAAAATTGAAAATATTTGTAAGCACATTTTCTGATTTATTTTATTGGGTTTTTTTTCTTTATAAGTATATGCTGAGGGTATTTGTAAGTTGGTTTCATCTTCCTATGAAAAACAACTGGAAACCTGCTAGGTGGAGTTTGGTGTATCAGTGGCCACCTGAAACAGGAAAGAGGTCACTTCTCAGAGGAGAAGCACAATGTGTGTTAAAATATGTCTATTAAATGAGTTTTTTCTTTTGTTATATTGTTTTTCAGGACCAGTCCTGCCGCTGTTTTAGAAGACATGTGGTGTATATAAAGTTTGTGGTAGTTGGCGGAAATTTTAGTAAGTGTTGCTGCATTTACTTCTAATACATTTCACTGTTAAAATGGTGTTTATGAAGGAAAGCCATTGCCTGTTCTGTGCACCTTTTAAATCTGCCCTGAATTTAGAGAGAATAAATTTTATAATTGAATGTAACACTGTAACACTGCACTGCTGTTTCCTGACAGTGTGGTTTATTTTGTTTTTTCCATGTTATTACTGATGTTAAGCAATATGTGATTTTCTAAAATATAGCAAGTCTAGATTAGGGAAAGCTTCTAGATACAGGGTAAGAACATCCTTGGCAGTTTAGTTTATGTTCTAAGCCAGCTTTGTAATATGAGTAATAAACTTGCAAACCAGAATAAAATAGTCTCCAAAGAAGGGAGATCTTTATGACCCATATATTGAAATGAGAGAAAAGGAGGCAGCTAGCTGCTTAGTGAATGGGGAATTAAAGAATCCTGCATGCCTGGGAGCTAAGGCACAGACCAGTGTGATAGCAGCAGTGAGAGACCGAGAACATTCTGTTCAGCAGCTACCCACATCTCACTCGCGGTAATCGGTAAAAGGACAGCCTTTGGGATCAGGACACTAGGTTAAAATCGAGCTTCTGCACCTACTGGTTTTTACATAACCTCTCCAAGTCTCTGTTTCCTTTTTCTACAAGGCTTTTAATGTTACCTACTTCATGAGGTTTATATGAAAACTAAATGAGTTAAGTAGTGCTGGGGGCCTAGTGGATGCTTAGTATTGTGACATTCTTCAAAACAGAGCAGCCTTGTTTGGAGCCTGGGCATTTGCCATGGAGAATAAGCCACAAGAAATGTATATCTTCCCGCAGGAAGACTACTGGGATGAGTTGGTCACACTCATTTAATGTCACAGGGGCCATGACAGCTGCTCATCACGGTCGCCTCCGTTGTCCACTCCCTAAGGAGCTTGGGAACGTCTATAACACATGCCTTCTTCTGTGTCCCTGGGGACCCATTCTTGCTAAAGTTCTTGCTAAAGTTCCCTTCCACATTGTTTGAGCTTTTTTCAGTTTTTCTCAGTTAATGTTATGGTGAACCACATTAAAAGAAGAAAAAGAGGACTTGGGGTAGATAATACCCTTGGTTTGTACCTCAGTTGCCATGTTTAAGCTTTCATTTTCAAATCTTTTTTATTTTTTATTTTTTCGGTCTGTGTTTGTTTTGAAACTTCACAAAGATTCAGTTATTGAACTGAAAACTTTCGGTTTGATCTAACAGAATTTGGCTTTGAGGTGGTGTTTTACCTGCAGTTGTATCACACTGTATCACACTGCATGGGCTGATGTTTAAGGTTCTGTGTCTATAGGTGGCCACATTCTAGTGTCACAGATCCAAAGAGATGGACACGATCTCAGGAGGTGCCTGACCCAATTTCTTATTACCCTAGTTTGATCATTATACATTTATCAAATTACCGTATTGTATCCTGGGTAGATATATAAATATCTGTCTCGATGAAAAAATAAAGTAATAAACAATTAGGGAACACAAGGATTGTGTGTGTGTGTTACTGGGGTTTAGATCCACAGCTTTGCACATGATAGGCAAGCACTCAACCACTAAGCTACACACGCAGCCCAACAGGGAAATGATTTAGAGAAGAGAATGAAATTGTAGCATATCTTAATTATGATGTGCTATTTATGAAACCATGCTTTTGTGAAAACTCTAAGAACTATACATTAGAAGCGGTTACTTTTGTAGTTTGTAAATTAAATTAAACCTTAATTTTTAAAATGGAAAAAAAATGAGCTGTTAGAAAAATAACTGTACAGTTACTTCAACTTGTTAAAAAGAAAGAAAAGGATAAGAAGGAAAGGGGAGAAGCTAGGAAGAAAGAATAGCAGTCCAGTCTTATGTCTCCTTCAGGGGAGGGACAGGGCCTTGTTCTTGTCCCTTCCTGTCCTCTCAGTGCCATATTCAAATACTGTTTTAATCACATACTGCTCTTTCATCTTTTTTTTTTTTTTTTT